AACATGCAGTAATGCTTAAAATCATGAATTACTGCAGAGAATACCCAGTAATAGCTGGGAATCTAAACTGTATTTTGCTTTTTTATGACCCAATTGGTAAAACATATGTTATCCATATGGTCTGTGGGGAAGTACTTTAAATGGAACAGCTGTTAACTTTAAGAGTTACAATAGAAGAAAAGTTTTATTTCCACTACAAGTTTTCTTTACATTGTCAGATATGTCCCTAGCCTAGTCATCCCCACCACCACTCCGGTTTCTATTTAAGACTCTGTGAACAAGCTAAGAGGTCCCTTGGTTCAAATGCTGTATTCAAAACTGTGTCGTGCTCAGCAGAGACCATGACACACCTGGATGGGAAGAAGAGTGCACATAAGCTTGAACTAAGCTACACTATTACCCTCTGCAACAAAGTTTCCACACTGGTGGGGAGAGACCATCGTGTACTCTCCCAACCTTTAGTCCCACAAGGGATGACTATTTTATTCATATCTCACCAGGATATGAGAGATGCACTGACAGATGCTATAAAACAAGTTCATCCTCACTCATTGTTGAAGTGCTGTCATTGAACAATCACTGAGAATGCATGGAGCATCAGGGTGCCCTTTCTTTGTGATAGTTAACACGCTCTCATCCCCCCCAATGTTAGTGTAGTTATCAGTAATAATTAGATGCTGTTTCACTGACTCCAAAAGACACACACTCACATGCACCACACCAAACCTGCGGTTAGTTTGAAGCCTTGTTGGAATACCAGGGAGAAACATAAGTGAACTTATACCATATTCAATGCATACTTGTTTCCTGTTTTATTAGGACCTAGAGATTTACTAATTACATATTAAATCATCTTTGCATAACAACAGAAGCATTTGCTTCTATGGCAGATGTCCGTATTTGCATAACAACTCCAAATATTGCATACCAGTTAACACAGCAGTGAAGTGAGGCATGGTAGCCATAATCTGTTACAGAACTCACAGAATCACAGAATGGTTGAGGTTTGAAGGGACTTCTGGAGGTCGTCTAGTCCAACCTTCCTGTTAAGCACACTGAGCAGGTTGCCCAGGACCATGTCCAGACAGATTTTGAATATCTCCCAGGATGGAAACTCCACAACGTCTCTGGGCAACCTTTTCCAGTGCTCGGTCACCCTCACAGTAAAAGTGTTTCCTGATGTTCAGACAGCACCACTTGCATTTCAGTTTGTGCCCATTGCCTCTCATCCTGTCAATGGGCACCACTGAAAAGAGCCTGTCACTGTCTTCTGTGCACCCTCAGATATTTATACACATTGATGAGATCCCGCCTGAGCCTTGTCTTCTCCAGGCTAAACAGTCCCAGCTCTCTCAGCCTTTCCTCATAAGAGAGATGCTCCAATCCCTTAATCAGCTTCCTGACAATTTCTTGGACTGTCTCTCCAGTATGTCCATGAGTGTCTTGTACTGAGGAGCCTGAACTGGACACAGTATTCTGGGTGTGACCTTACCAGTGCTGAGTAGAGGGGAAGGATCACATCCCTCAACTTTCTGGCAACACTTCTCCTAATGCCACCCCGGTTACTTTTGGCCTTCTTTGTAGCAAGAGCACACTCTGGCTTATGTTGAACTTGGCACCCACCAGGACCCCCAGGTCCTTTTCTGCAAAGCTGCTTTCCAGCTGGTGGTCTCCAGCATACGTTGGTGTATGATGTTGCTCCTCCCCAAGTGCAGGACTTTGCACTTCCCCTTGTTGAACTTCATGAGGTTCCTGTCAGCCCATTTTCCTCAGCCTGCTCAATGGCAGCACAACCTCTCATGTATCAACCACTCCTCCTTGGTGGTCCCTACTACCATTATATTACTCTCACAGTAGCATTGAAATGCTATCCATTCAAATGTTCCTTACAGCAACATTGAAAACAGATTTCCTTTGCCATGTTTGCAAAGGCTGACTTTCCCACAGACCTGCACTGCTCATTTGCAAAATTGAGACTGATTTCAAAAGGTCTGTACACATCTCAAAGCTCCCGCAGGACAGTGGAGATGACAGTAAGCAGCCTAGCCTTGACTAATAGGCTGACACTGCTCTATGGTAGGACACTTTCCAGCTGCTGGAAAGCATTGAAGGGAAGCTGAAACATTACCAGTGAGACAGCCAGCTTTTAGGCTGCTACATTTCTGCTAAAGGACTAGAGTAGGAACTTCTGTGGATCCAGTAATATACAAGAAAAGCAGATATTTTAATCTAGTTTTTTGTTACTTCTGAAAATAGCTATCTATTCATTATTTCATGCTGTACCAACCTACCAAAACTCTTTTCAGGCTACTTATATGACAGATAACAGGTGTAGGGACTAGATGATACCGAACATTTTTGAAAGTCACACTTTATATTTTTATGGATCTGTGAATATATGAGGGATGTTGTCACTATGATAGATACAAATTATAAGGAAAACAAGTTTCCAGACAGAGATTATATCTTTTGTTGTATAATTTGATCCCATTGTGAAGAGCAGGTACACAATTCCTTCATTAGACCTGAGAAGGAAGCGGTAAGGCTCATGATAAATTCAGACTAGGAGCAAGGGCTCTGAGTGCTTGGTTCCCCCAACATTAATATCAGTGCTGTGCACTGCTGGAGCCACCCAGCAGTACGAATTTGGTCTGACTCAGACGTGGGCACATGATTGCAGTTCTCTCGAGTTAGTCAGACACTATGGAGCTGCATTCTTTTATGCTGGCTCTGTGCCGGGGGAGGAGGCAGGGGCAGGATGCATTGAGCTGACTCAACAAATATTTATGAACAACAATCCACCAGGAGCTCAGCCCATTGCAGCCTATAGCTATGGCATTTTGCAGTGGGCTTCAGGAGCCCTCAGCCCAGCTGCAAGCTATTGGAATATCAATAACTCCATTAACTTCATCTGTTACTGAGTTTTGAGAGGCAGGTTGTTAGCACCTGCAGAGCAGAAAGCATTGCCAAAAGGAGAGGTCACCAGCCTTACTGAAGAGCAGGAGGACTGAACATCTAAAAAGTACCAGACATAAAGGGATCTGCCAAAAGTAGTTATAAGTAAAATAAGAATTTCTGTTTGTAACTCACAATCATAGCATTGATATCACGATTCCTGTCCTCCTTTCATCCCTCTCTGACATCTGTATCTGATGCTGAAAGTATGATTGTGTGACTGCAACTGCAGCACTCAAAGTTGCAGTCCCCAGTAACCAGCAATCCTATTAATGCAGCGATCCAGCACTGCCTGCATCTCTTCCAGGTGCACCACTTTCCCCAATATGGTGTCAGGTTTAAGCCTCTGTTCTCTTATTGCCACCACTGGATCACAATAACATCTGGCTGAAGCCCTAAACTTTTAAAGATGGACACAGTATGTAGTCAACATGCCAGAGCCTTTCAGGTCCTGTCTACCTTTAGGCTACTTCATTCTGCCACAGTGGGACAGACTCTCTGCTCATGTCAACAACACTGATTTCAAGAGAAAGATACCAGTATATGCTGGTGGAGAAGACTGACACTGGTCTTTCTTTCTCACCCCCCCTTCCTCATGGCACTGCTGAAATGTTTATGACTTTTGTGTCTATCTGCTGATGTGTAGAGTATAAATTCGGACTGAGGTTAATTTTACAGTTCAAGAAATATAAAAGATTATTTAAAATACAGATATTTGGTCAGATACAAAGTCTGGAAAACATCAGACCAAAAGTTATCATGATTGAAATAAAATGAAACCATAATCCAGTCAGATTCATCATTACTCAATGCGATTGAAAGTACTGCTTCCAAAGCCTGAGTTAGCTGCCCATTTATGAGTTTCTCCCTGCTGAAGACTGTAAATCCTTGATAGAGGATCTTTCCTGAACTGTAAAACATATTGAGTCAAGTTCAATTTGGTTAGGCAAGGGCAACACTTACTGAAACCAGAGAGACTTAGAGCAAAATGGGGTGCTACAAATCAGCTGCTCTGGCATTCACGACAACTTGTCGTACAAGGATTGATAAAATCTTCAGTACAAATAGTTATTTGGTAGATTAAGTCTGTATTCAGTGGGCCTGGACCCTTCAAAAGCATGAAATTACTTGGAAAATTAAGGGGACACATTTTTTTCCAGGTACTTAGGTAGTTGTAGACAGCAATATGGCATTTGTCTACCTCATTACACAGCTAAATACCTTCGAACATGTAATCTTCAGTCATACTCTCAAAGGAGACAGATTTATAGAAGTGCACAGACGTCCAGGAGGTTTAGAAAGAGCCTAGTTGTTTAGCTCACAATGAAATCAGTGAGAGTTAAAGGCCTTGTATAAAACCATGTCAATCTGACCAATTAAAAAACACAGCCCCTAAGATCATGTGTCTTGTTAAAACCAGTGAGACGTTCCTTGATATAGTCCCCAGGCAGCTAGCAGGAGCAACTGCGATCAGTGGGAATGAGGACAGGAGAGGTGTCAAGCCAGCACCAGGCTCCAGGCAGAGCTGGGCTGCCAGGACAGAGGTCTTGCAACAACGTGGAATGGACTGTCCGTAGAAAAGCCGACAAGAGAACAGGCCGGTCCCAACCTTCACAAAGACACCTCTACCATATCTGTGCTGTTTATAGCAAGCTGTGTGTTTGCATAGACCGTTTGAGAAGGTGTTTTCCTTTAAATAGCAGTTTAGGACGAGAGTTGCCGCTTCCAATTTAATTACCCTTCTTTAAGATAGCTTGGTGCGGTGCAGCTGGGTAATTAACCTTGATATTTGTTCGGACTTCAAAACACACAACTCCCATTGCTGTCAATTAGCTGACAATGCCGCGTGTGTGTTGATGGAAAATTTTTTTTGTGACCCTGGCAATATGGCATTTGGGAAATTCCAGCAGCTAATACAATCAACCTGCTGGAGAAAAAGTCCTTCACAAATTACTTTAACAATTTTGTGAATTTGTCACTGTATTGAGTTCCCAAAACAGAACAGATGTACATTAAAGTTTACCTTACTTTCTGTTCTTATTACAATGCCGCTTTCCAAAAGGTCACTCCAGATAATTGTCAAACCTTCTCGTTATCATGGTTCTGTACAGCTCCAAGCACAAGGAAGATGCCTTAATCTCAGCTAGACCATTCAGAATCTACCACACTTTTTAATACTAATGTAAGACTGGAGGCAGGATTATAAATGATCATTACTAAATAATTTTTGATATGTGAGGTGGTGCAATAAACATTGCAATATGAAAATGGGACAGAGTATGGGAAGAGCCAGTGGCACTTTACTTTTCCCGCTGATTCTTTGCATTTATAATAAAGAGTTACAGCCTATTGGTAACAAGGTTAAATTAGTGGACAGCAAGAAGTTTGAATCAGACTATTTTCCTGTTATCGCATGGTGGCTCACATTCTGCTAATGACTGTTAACCCTGCAATCAGGCAAACATTCATCTTGATAAATGAACAACCTCATTCAGGGCTTTTAAAGCAGCCAGCACAGTCAACAGCTGAAAATAAATTGGCTCAAACACAGCTACTTTCCTTTTTAAATATTATTCTTCCTCCTCGAAAAGAACAGATGTTAATGGCATGAAACATTCTTGTAGCAAAAGCTGAGAGCAGCCCAAGACCCTTCCAGGTTAGAAATCCTGCCTTGTGACAAGGAAGGAATAGCTGATGCTCAGTCAAATGCTTCTGCACAGGCTACATAGAACCTTTTCTGAAGGTTCCTAACGTGAGCTCAGTTTGACCTCCATATTTTCAAAGTACTTTGCTGCATCTGCTGAATGAAAAGAGCGAATGATAGAAACATAAAAACAAAAAACAAAAAACAAAACAAAACAAACAAAAAAACCCCCAAAAAACAAACCACTGGTCTCTTGTGCTTTTCCCTGGATTTGAAAATAACATTAATCTTTTCTGAAATATTCTGACTTCTCCATTCTCTACGCAGGGTCAACATTACGAAGAGGAAAAACGGGCTTTGAGCCATGAAATAATTGCACTTAATAATCACTTAATAGAGGCCAAGGTGACAATAGATAAGTTGTCAGAAGATAATGTAAGTATTTAATTATGGATGCATCTTGAGATTATATTCAGAAATAAATTAGGCCATGCACTTCCCATTAAATTATAGAATAATTTCTTGTTGTTTACATAAAATGTTACTTGTCACCTTGACAGTTAAAATTCATGTTTGATTGTTCCCATCATTTTGTAAATTCAGCTCTCCTTATGCTCTGGGGTTTGGGTGAGTCTTTCATTGAGTTTTTTTCCTTACGTCTAACCTAAAACTCATGAAAAAATATCCTAAGAAATGGAAATACTCCCACATTGATTTTGACATTGGTTTTGGTCTAGTACTGCAAACTGGTGGAAGCACATGCTCAGAGCTATTGCGTGGACACATGTATGGAGTGAGGATTTATCTAAGGATTTTAGGCACAGTGTAGAACCCTACATTTCCTGCAGTTCCTCTGATCTTTCAGTCTTTGCTCACTGGGATGGGATGCCCAGCACAGTTGAGCTCTACCAGTAGAAGGTAGCTTGACCCAACCTGGTCGCTCAGATTGCTGCAGGGAGTGGGAGACAGGTTTTCCCCAGCTGTGGTTCACGTGTAACAATTTACCTGTCTCTGTGTGGAACGAAACAGAGAACATCTTTGGCAATTGCCACCCTGCATCTCATTGAAGACTGCTGAAAACTGGCACGCGTGCTGCAGCTGGCAACCAGGCTCATTAAATCTTTCCAGAGACAAACCTAAAAAGACAGAAAAGAAGGAAGATTGTAGGCATTTAGTTCATTATTGTGCCATTCCTTAGACACTTAATAAAAAATTCATTTACAGAAGACATGTTTCTGTTAGCACTTATTTTTCAGCATCTTACACTCAATCTTCCCATATTTCATATGAACTCTTAATCACAGCAGGGAGCATTTGATCCCATTAATACACCTGTTGATGGGAATTGTGCCTATGCAATTAATAGCTTTCCAGCGGAAACAAAGAGTTTACAGTCTGACCCTTTACTTTTATAGAACTTATGTTGAAACAACAGTTACTTCATAATTCTAACAGCTGTTACTATACACAAAATGGTAAATGCAATGGGCTACATTTAGGTTTTTGAAGCACAGGTATACATCCAGACTAATTCAGCTGAAACCAACAGAGTTATTTCAGATTTTAAACAGAGGGAAAGAAAAATTGTAAAACTCTCCCAATAAATATACATGCATTTACACTACTTCATGGAGTCAGGATTGAGCCCACATTTGAAGAAGTGTTTTCAATATCCGTAGTTTTTAAAAGGCAGCTTAGAATGGACTGGAGTTCAGAGTACTCTTCTTCCAAGAATTATTCTGAACTACTCTGAACATCACAGTATGGTCCAGAAGCTTCAAATAACAGTGCCACTTCTTCATACTTGAGGTCAATTCAGAGAAAAAATTCTGCCCTTACTTCTGTAGCATCACTAATAAAAGTAAAGGTTAAATGCCAAAATTTAAAATAAAGAACTATGAAACAAACCATTAGTGTTACACCTAATAAGTAGAGACAGTGTTAAACTGAAGGAGAGCATGTTTTTGTCCTGCCAACATTTCTTCCTTCAGTTATGTTCCCCCTTATTCTTCTGACAGATAGGTAAAGTGATGTTTTTGATGCAAAAACACGCTTTAGACCATGGGAAATGCTTGTGGCATTAATTGCCAATTACTGTTCTGGTTGCCACAGATGTGGCTAGCTTCCATTCAGGTAAACATGAAAGGACAGAAAGATATTCCAGTAGCGTGGTGTGTCCCAGCATGTTGAGAACAAAGTACACGAGGCACATTTAACTCACATTTCATTTTTCTGTGGCAATTTTTAAAGCTGCTAAAAACAAAGCGTCAGAGATGTTTTTTGTACTCTCCATGACAACCACTTCACAGAAACGGAGGCATACAGCTTTTGAAGAAAGGGTCAGATTTTGGAGTGATTTCATTTCTGTGTGCCTAGTAATGCCATATGGAACTTGGAGTATTTGTCTGTGCTATACATTGTGCAGCATTGTACTATGTGATTAATGTGCATGCAACATGTCAGAATCACATGCAACAGATTTTGTTTCTAAATTGAATTATTGGATTCCGACTGTTTGCATCTGTTTTCAGGAGTAAAAATAGTGTGTACTAGTATAAAATTTGTGACCTACTTAAATGAATGTATCTCCCCAGTACATTTAAGGCAGAAGCGACATGTATAAAAGCTCACACAGACACAAAAAAAAACAACCCATAAACTACAAGTATCTGAAGGCACTTGAATATGAATATATAATGAACTAATGAACATAGAAAAACTAAATTTACTACCCCCATGCCTCAAAGACTCCCAGGAACATCTTGCTGCACCTGTTGTTACAGAATACCTTTAAAATGGTGTTTCAAAACAGAGATAATTTCCACCTTTCCTTTTCACAGAAAATCTCGTTATCAATTTTTAAAAGAACAAGTGGAACAGTAGAACTCTGTGTGCAATAAAATTATAACACTAGCACCAGAGAAAATTCAAATAATTTCCGTTTTCCACACCAACATTTTATAATGTTCACAGGTTGACACAGCCTAGTGTCCATCGTGCCTTTATGCTTTATCTTTCCCATCTACGCCCACCTATAAAGTCAACTTCTGAAGCCAACTTTGTTTTTAATGGCACCTAGGAGAAGCAACATACAACTCTTACGTCCAGGGACCCAAAGATGCTGGTTGAAGGATACAGTTACACAGTCATGTGGGTTAAATCAAATTTAGACGAAGGGCAAATTTATGTACTGAATTTTCCTATTAAGTAGGCTGTGAGAGACATTCAATACAAAAATTATACAAGCACTTTGTTTAAATTCTCTTTTTCCCTGAGTGGAATTCTTATGGTAATTTCTTACCCAGGAAAAATATCTTGTTCTGCAGCATCAAATATTTGCAGTGAGATTTAATATATTTGCATAGCTGCATTCTGCAAGATATGAAAGGAGCCAGGAACCAGCAAGAAAGTTGCATAAGGAGACAAAGGCCTTCTTTTTAAAAAACAATACAATATATATTTCTGCAGTTAATTTCTCCCACAGTCTCATAAGATTATTTAAGCATTTTCTAAAATAGCACCTTAGTGCTGATCTGGATAATACACAGGAAAAATTGTCTGTTCTTAAATTTTCCTTTTGCTTAGAAGATCATGTTTATTTTAGCCTTTGTAGCGTCATGCAAGTTAACACTATAAAGTCCAGTTCCTAATGGTAAGTATCTACCCTTTGAAACACAGATTACTGTTCTGTAGTAACAGTTCTCTAAATTTTCTTCTTAGTAATATTATCAGCCCTCACAGAGCAAAGGGGCAAACATCTCAGGACCATGCAAGAAACATGGAATATTAATGTATTTAAAAGCTAAAGTATGCTCCAAATTTCCCCAAAGTCAATTTTTAAAAGATTGCTCATGCATGCGAGAAAGGCTGAAAGCCACAGGCTATTTGCAAACTATAAAAAACAGGTTATTTTTTGTTTTTCTAGGAGCTCTATAGGAAGGACTGCAATTTAGCTGCTCAGTTGCTCCAGTGCAGCAAGAATTACGACAGGGCACATAAGCTTTCGGAGGTAATGTGAACAAACTTGGTGACTATTCAAAGAAATAAATATTTTATGGAAAACGGGTTATTTTACACGTATCAATTCCAGAACTTGTTTGCCGTTAAGGCTTTGATTCCCCCGCCCCTTAAGCAACAGGAGGGCTCGTGCACCTGCTGGTATTCTGTGCAGCTGACGGAGCTGCTGACAAAATCACAGCTAGTGACTGATTGTGTGTTGATTGGAGGTACTTTCTTGCCCAAAACCTCTGCTCTCTGGTAGAATGGACCTGTCCTGATCACATGAAAAGTAAAGGTTTTAGCAAAACCAAAGTGCTGAGAACTCTAGACTGCAAAATGCTGGGGGAGGGGGACAGGGGAATGAGAGCAGGGAAATGACAAGCTGCAGGCATTAGAGATTCTGATATAATCAATTTTCCTCCTGAAGCTATTTTCCAGTCCAGCTAATTTCTAAACCTGATTTTTAAAATGGACTGACAGAACAAATATCTTTTTCTAAAGCAACCAGAGCACTGAATGATTGATTTCCGAGGTGTAAACTTTAATTAATAATCCTTGCTTCCAAGGAAACAAGACTTGAGAAACAGACTCCTTAAAGGGAAGGCAAATATTATCTTAGTGAACAGGACTGTCTTTAGGGATGCAGGCCCTACACAAAGCAATAGCACCTTCCTCATGTGTAGTGTTTTGGTGAAGGTCATGGAAAAAAGCCTTCCCTTCAACAATCCCTTCAGGTTAATGTCCCCCCAAAATGGTCTCTCTTGTGCAATTCTGCAATGGAATAATGCAAAATTAAATGTGGAATGTATAAACCATTTCTAAGCCAGTAGACTGCTTCAGAGCACTAAACAACCCTGGTAAATAAGGGTAGAGCAAGACTCTTGTCAAATGGGCAATGATTTTCTAGAACTGAGACAGAACTTCCAAATTAACCATTATCCTGGTCCTGTTATTTTTTCCTAGTAACTGACTTCCTTTAGTAATTCATATCCAAGAATTATCACCACATTACTCACACTTGAAAGAAAGAATTATCAAGAATTAGGACCTTAAAAATACTTAGAGGTTCATTTGCAAAAAGCTATCGCAAATGTGGGCTCTCCCCACAATTTCCCAGGCTGTCATACACTCAATTAAATAGGCAAAGTCTCCACTCCACTCATAAATCCTAGTATTTATTAATTTAGCAAGTGTAAATGTGCTGTCACAGCCAATAAATTCCTCACAAATGCAAATATTGCCTGACAAAGTATTGTATATTATCCAGAAGCCTAAATTATAGTACAATATAGTAATGTGACAGCAATATCATTTGAGTAATTCCAGTTCCCAGTGCAATGCCCAGAAAATGACGTTCTTCTTCTCAACACATTTAATGATCTAAACAATGTCCATAAAATAGATCAAACAGTGGTGTTAAGGGATACTAAAACAATAGCTGCCCCATACAGCAGTTTCACATCAAATGAACTGTATTTCTTTTCCTCATTTATGTGGCAATTTACAGCAACCCTATTTTACAACCTGTTTATTCAATCTTTGTTGCATCTGTACTTACTATGATTAATATTGCTGTCTGCCTGCAGATTGGCAATATCATACTCTTTATTTCCAATGGAAGACATATGAGCTAATTAACAACATAAAGATTAATCCGAAACATCCTGGAAGTTCTGTTGATTGAAAAAAACACTCATCCTACTCCACATTAACAAGAATGTCATTTCACAACATGCCATATTTTGAACACATTGAGTTTTGGGGATTAAACCAACTTCACTTCCCAGTGAAGCTAGAATAGGAGCTCCATATCTTATACGGTGTGAGATCACTACAAGGAGCAGGCACCTTAAATTTCTCTTCCCTAAAATAGCAGGGGGGGAGTGGGTTGTGAAAGCAATTCAGAATTTGTAGGGTTTTCTCCTCTAGAGAAACAGAGTTAAGGAGGGAATATGATCATTAGGGCTATAAGGGTAACCACTAATTATGTGCTAAAGAGGAACTTGATTTCTAGCTATAAAAAGGAAATGCTACGTAAATCACAGTTCAGCCAAGCAGTCAGGGGCTAAATTCTTAAGCAGTGTAAATCAACATGGGTATCAAAGGAGCTATCACAGTCACAAACTCAAAACTTAGTCTGAACATGAGTTCTGTTGATTTTCAGAAATACTGAGAGACAGCCATCACACAGCACTTTCTCATATCCCTGTTTGATCATTGATAGAAACCTGAAATGAGCAAGGCAAATAGATAAAATTGGACTAGCAAGCATGCTTGGCGATACCTTTCTCTAGGTGTTACCTACCAGATTTTTGAGCCTCACAAAGGAATGTGAGCTCTCAGCCTCTTCTGGTCCACATGACAGAATGGCAGGTGGAACCCCCATCCACAGAGCTGATCCTGACTTTCTCCGAAAACTATATGATTTCTGATGCATAACCAACTTATTGATTAATTCTGAATAGCCTGTCACAGGAATCATAATGTAAATTGAGGTCTGAGCTCTTATTTCCACCAGTGTAGTAAGAAAATAGAAAAACAGTCAGCTAGCAGCTGCTGGAAGAGGGGAACATGTTGAGGCTTATATGGACGGTCAACCTGACAAGCAGTGTCTGACTGCTGGGGCAAGGTAGCCAGATTGATTTGCTTCTTCCCAGCACAGGAACACTCCTGTCATAGCAGCCAGTACCATTGCTTTATGTGTCAGTGAAACCAACTTTCCTGCTTCTTCAAACAGCATAGTTCATCAAATGAGAGGCTGGAGGGCAGGAGCCAATTTGGCACCAGGTTGGAGGCAAAACAAGCTCGAAGAAAGGCAAAAGAAAAACAGAATAGATCTGACCTCTTCCTCCTCTTTCCTCACCCCAGCAGAGACCTCCACACCCCCCATTCCAACTGCAAATCACACACATGAACGCAGTCTGGAAAGTGTTGCTATAGGCTGTAATTCCTTACCTGCCTTTTTAAGATCATTGTTTACTACATTCTTTAGATCATTCCTATCCAACCTGAACTAACTTGGAAGGAAACATTTCAGTTGCTCAGTGTTTTCCATGAGAGGAAGCAGATGAAAATTTCCAAATGTTAATAAATGAAGTCACTTGATTACGTTTCTTTTCAGAAATGCACAAAGATTGTGGCCATCACATTAGTCAAAGAACCATATACAGGGAGCTATGTAATGTCATAAACAGCACCCATCTGTCAATGTTGTATAACCCCAAGCAGACACCAGTATTGATTGTGCACCCTTTTCTCCTGTCCCCTTTGCCATCTCTTTATGTTACAGTTACCGTCTGACTTTCAGGAAAGAGTCAGCATCCATCTCGAAAAACACGGGTGCAGCCTTTCTGTCCCCTTGTGCCACACATCTTATGCTGATACCATACCCACTTGCGTCATTGCCAAAGTACTGGAAAAACCAGATCCAAACAGCTTGTCTTCGCACTTGTCAAGCCCATCTACCAGGGATCTCAATTTTCAGGACTCTGCTGGAAAGCTCGGACAAAGGACCCAGTACAAGTCAGACATCTACTGCAGCGACACCGCCCTTTACTGCCCCGAGGAGAGGAGGAGGGAGAGAAGGCAAAGCGTGGACACACAAGTGAAAGATGTGGGGTTCCTGCGGTCCCAGAACTCCACAGACAGCACCGTCGAAGAAGACGGTTTCCATTCCAGCTTCTCTCATGAAGCCTTCCCAGAGTACATTACCTCTCTGCCGACCTCCAGTTCCTATTCCAGCTTCAGCGTCACATCCGAGGAGAAGGAGAACGCCCAAGCCAACACTCTGACAGCTTCTCAGCAGGCAATCTACATGAGCAACAGAGACGAACTGTTTGAAAGAAAGTCACCTGCAGGTTACGAGCATCAGGGAAGTCCTAGGTTCGCCAAGTCTAAACCTGCGCAGCACATGGAGCTTGCCGACGACAACGAGAACTCGCCCACTTTTACTAGGACTCTGCCTCCTTATGCAAATGAACCTTTTCATTTCTCAGCCATAACACCACAGCAGGCTTTAGCAAATCAGAAAATGAGGAACGAATGCAGGAGCACCCACCTTTCAGAAGAAGACTTGCCTGGGCGATGGAGGCAATTGAGCGTGGAGGACATTGGTGCGTACTCATACAGGAACGCTGGCAGGCTGTCGCCCTGTAGTTTTTCAGAGCAGTACTACAGCAGCCCTATTAAGAAGGGAGACAGTCGAACAAGCCCCATCTATGCCAGTTACAAAGCAGATAGCTGCTCGGAGGGAGATGATATCTGTCAAAGCAGACTTGTGGATTCTTGCTTCCTGAGAACAGACAGTGGCCTGAATATTGACATCAGCACTAGCTGTAAACAGGACAAATTGACCACTTACAAAACAAAAGAATCAAGAGACCAAAAAAATGAAAGGATCACTGTCCAGTTATGCAGTAGCAAAAACATCGAAAGTAGCCCGGTATTGAAAAGAGAATACGTGGACGTGAGCCCCAACAGCTCAGCAGAGTCCCTCAACCAGAGTTCAATGGAGGCTTCAGAAATCCACCAGTCTTCCATGGAGCAAGGAAGCCATTCAGGTATTCCCAGCAAACAGCAGCAGTTTCAACGGACTGGGAGTACTGGTTTGAGTCGGAAGGACAGCCTTACTAAAGCACAATTGTATGGAACCCTTCTGAACTAGGCATCTTCCAAAATGGCAATAAGACAACAAACAAAAGGAAGCAAACAGCATTTGATACTTGTAGTGAACAATACGGTTCTAAGAAACAGGATTATTATAAAATATATATTCATAATGGTACTATATGTTTAAAATAAAATATCTTCAAAAATGTTATACAGCACTTTTCACTTAACATCCTTTCCACATGGGAAACTGTCCCCTCCCCTCTTTTATAAACCTGAAATATTTTTATAAACAAAATGGTATTTATTAGACTATCCTAAGCTATTTGAGCAGAATTCTTTTCCCTTCAAGCAGGTTTCTTATTTATTTTTGTGCATGAGGCCATCTGTGCCTAAACTCTTGGAGGAAAAGGGTAAAATCATGACGGCGGTGATAAAAAATAAATCCACCTGATAAAATACCATAAAATCTCATGTGAAAACAAAACAAAACAAACAAGAATGGTGAATTTGAAGAAGTATATTTTTTAACAAGAATGGAATTGTATCTTAAGTTATTTCATACGAATGTATTTATGAGTGACTAATGTATGCACAAAGTGATACTAATATTTTGTTCTTTTAATCCACTGTGTTTCTGCTTTCCTATTTTTCCTTGTATACTACCTCAAAAGTAATTGAGGATTTCTTTGTCACATTTTCTGTAGGCTTGCATTTATATTGTCTAAAATGCATGCAGTGTCATAATTAATACTGTATTTTGCATTACTTAATAAAAGACAACAGTGGAGATATTTTAGGTTGGTTTTTTCCCTTCATTAACACATACCCTGGACAATAGAACATGGGATTGCTTTGGGTGGCATCAGTCCAGCCAAAGTTAATGAGTAAAGCTCCTGTTTTGGATTGCTTTCTGAAGGAGTGTCTCTTTCTCTGTAAGCTCCAGAGCACTGATTCTCAGTCTGTGGCCCCTGGGTGTAGAAGGACAGCTTCCCATCATCCTGTGAAAAGTAAACAAGGAAAACAAACTGTTTATCAACAGGCTTGAATTCCCAAGTCAAGGCTCTGCACACTGAAAAGAAAATTAAAAACTATTTGAAAACTTGTGAGTTAAGCTCCTCCCCCATTACACACATACTTGACACAATCTTTTAGGTTTTTAGGACTGTCACCTTCCACAGTTGCCCTTTTTTCAAATGTAGCTTGGTATTTCTGAAAAAGAGATTTTTCTAAAGATTTTTCTAAAAATTCTAATTTTTTCTCTTTTTTTCTAAAGCTTAAGGAACATCTGGCATTCTGTAGCCTATGGGAATTTCACCCCTGACTCTGAGAAGCCATAGTTTCACCTTTCCTCCATAGACTTTTCTGTTTCCCACCATTTCACCACTAAGGAGTGTACAACTTGGACAGCCGCAGAAGGAAAAGAGCAAAAGGAGAAGAAAAACAAAAAAGAGAGAAAGGGAAATCCTGTAGATTTCCTTGATGGCTTCAGTATTGCTGCTTGATTACAGGCAGCATACAACAATAATTCAATACCTATTAAAAAAATGCATATTTTCTACTGATTTCTACTGATTCTCTGAAAGCCATCACCTGGCAAATAACTATGAACCAGGAATACAGAACTGCTTGTTTCCCTCATAGGAATCTTAAATCACGAGGCCATGGATTCAATGAATTTGGCATCAACAATTTCCACTGCCTTCTCTATTCTTCAAGGATAATATAAAAATTTGACTGTTATTGATGTGTGCAAGTACTTGCTGTGCTGCTTTGAAGATCTGGCATCCAGTCCCTACAGTACTTCCAAGATCTGCAGTAGCACTGTGGAGAGCAATGGTAGCTAATAGCATCACAAGGGTAAGGCACAACATAACTCTAAAGTGAGGGTTATTTCAGTACAAAAGCTATAACACACCTTGTGCTTTTATGCTCCCCATACTTGCTCACAGTGATTGAGTGGCAGGTCATGCCACACTTAATTCCATAAGTCCATAAAAAACACATAGAATAAAGTTCCCCAAGGCCAGTTGCTTCTTGTGGCAGAATCTGACTTGGAGATCCAAGTTTGTTCCCCTTCAAAACACTAAGATAGAAAACAGATGCAAAAAAATCTCATTGTTGACTCATTCAGGTATATAAAATGTAGAGAGTCTCTAAGGCAAGATATTAATTTCTCTGGTCAATGAATACAAGAATTTGTATGCCAGAAGTGAAAATTAACTGTCATCTCACCTAAGAAAATATGTAAGCTATGGAACAACAAATCATGACATTTATGAACTAGAACACAGTATGAGACTAATCCTTTTATAATATCATTCATTATTTGACACTAAACTGATATTTTTCAATTAAACAAAATTAAGTTTCTGCTAGATATTATATATCTGATTATTTAATATCCTGTTCTACTATCTTCTTTCCTACTATTGCAATTTCAAAGTCTGCTTCTGTGCTTCACCTGACTCTTTTTCTCAGTTCATGTGCACTAGTATGTAGATCAAAACCAGCCTTTCCAGTCAATTAATACTGGGTTTTCCTTGTAAAATAACCTGTAGCCTTGCAACATTTTTCTGTAATGAATTCTGTTACAGAACATTATGTAACCCTGTAACAAATTTCAGTGGAATCAATCAAAATGGCTAGAAAGTTTATCAACTTCAATGTGTTGATTTTAATTTCTCCTTAATCAGAAAAACTGTCAGTAAGTTTGCACATTTTCTACGAACATGAGGAAAAAAGTTTAAGTAATTAATCAAAATTTTCTCATGTTTACAGGTTTAACTATGGTTTGGTTTAATTAAAAAAAAAAAAAAAGACATTTGAAAGATTATAATAAAATATTGCTTCTCTTTTGGCACATTCTGTTTTGACTTCTTGAGACAACCACAGAGAGAGAGATGAGGCATAAGACTAGAACGATACTGAATGTTTTTATAATAGATTTACATTTTCTTTGTGGTAGTGTTTTAATTTTTTACTTACCTTCAGTTTCCACACTGGGAAAAAATAATTTTAAAAAATACTGTCATGAGGCAGATTTTTGGAGTATGTCATTGGAGATATTTAAAACTGACTGCCCACTTTTCTTCACGAGGTCTCTCCAGACTCACCGTTGTGCACTGTGACTTTAGGAGGGCTCTGTCATGCCACCAGACAACCTCTTTTGTCCCAAGTACTGATTTAATAGTCACTGAGGTTTCAGGAGGTTGAACCTGGAACCTGGTTAAAATAGACAAAGTAGTAAAGGGTGAGAGAGCAAATCAATAATACTTTGTTCAGAAGGAGAACATATGCTTTGACCAAGGTGAAAGGGGCGGTAGACCTCTGTCTGCTGGAGGGTTCCTCAGAGCACTTACCTTCTGTAGGACATTTCTGATGGAGAGTAGCATCCTCAGAACAGCTCAGTTGCATTTTTCATTCAAGCAGGTGTGATTTGATTAATTTGAGTCTTATTTTCACTTAATGACAAGTGACTCCATAAATGCAAAATAACAGATCTTCAGCCAAAGAAAAGTGCCGCAGATGCCTCCATTACAGTGGCTGAGAATTTGCCTCAAAATACCTTTTCCCAAGGACATAAATGTCCAAGTTTCTCTTGAGTGTTGTAAAAATGTCAGTGTCTCCACATTTCAACAAAACCTAATTTTTCCAAGTGACATCTGAAGTAATCAAATTCTGTATGCAGGGTTTGTAGGTACCTATAGTAGGATTTTTGCTTTGATCAATTATTTCATTTGCCGTGAGTAAGAACAGAGAGGGTGAGGAAAAGAAGTGGCAGTCCTCAATAGTGCAGTGAAGCAGAAGATGAGAAATGTCATTTTAATGAATGAAAACTGAAAGCAAGATATACATGACATAGAACAATGATCAGGGAAAAACAAAGGGAGCTGAAAGAGATCGGAGTGAAGCATATCAAATCACATATTAAAACAAATAAGAATATTAAAAAGATACCAGGGAAATAGGATACACTTCACTAGGGACAGAAGTGCATAAATACTATGAAATCATGAAGAGTAAATGCATTTTTCGAGATGTGAAATAGTTTTATTACTCCAAATTAAGGCTAAAAAATAGCCCCTTAATAATTACGAATAACACATATCACTTTCTTTTAAACTTTTTAGAAGTCTAGAAATAGCTAAAATTTCTAAGTTTTAATCATGGCAAGCCACACAGTAGGTAATTTTCAGCTCAACAGATTCTAACTTCTCACAAACTAGAAAATTTATCAAACTAGTCCTTTCCCCTTCCAGCACTTTTAATTAAAAAGAATTTCCACTCCAACATCTATCACAGAGCATGATTATACTGCTATTTAGATGAATTTCCCCTTGTTTGATTCTAAAATACTAATTGACATCCTTTGGACTTTCCTATAAAATTCTTATCCCCTAGTCATATTTATAATCTCATAGTCTTTACATACTGTTATGATATCTCTCCTTATATATTGTTTAAATTGTGCAGATGTAGTCCTCTCAGTTCCTTGAAAGACACTCTCTTCAGGGCCCTGCTTCTAATTCTTTTCAAGGAACACCCTCTCCACCTTTCTACTGCTGAACACCAGAATATTTTAATATGAACACTGAGCTGTTCAAATGCACTGTACAAAAAAGCAGTACAAGGAAAGGAGGGGACTAGGGAGATCAGAGACACTGCATGTGTGATGCTCCCAGAACCTGAAATTCTCAGTAACTGTAGGTTTGCTTTATAAGCAAGGACTCACTCAAACAAAATGTGTTTTCATATAGACAAATTTAAGGTTTGAATTTTGATTCACAGAATGCCAGGGCATGTTTCTAGAATGGCAGCTTGTCTCCTGGAAATTAGTGTGTTTGGAAAGCAAGTATTTTTCATATACTTCCCTTTTGTGTTGTCTGCAATTTCTTCAGCACTTATGCAGTAGTATACTGGATGTTCATGAGGAAACTTTGGGTTTGGTCATGATGGACTTGAACCCTGTAGGGTTGATTTGTCCTCTTCATCTTGCATTACTGATAAGTCTGAGGTTCTGTTTTCACCTATGCTGTCTTCAAGCCCTGCACA